CTTTCACAATGTTCTTACTACAGTAAGAACTAAGAGAACTAAATGCAATAATATCAGTATTATTGAATAGGTATCGATTTAAAAACTAAAGATTATTTTTAAAAACCTTATTACTACATATATGTATTCAAATACATCCCGCAATTGCATGTAATTTTTTGCTTTAAATTAACTAAATTAGAGTCTAATTTACTATAGCAAAATTTTGTTATTGAGTCCCTACCTCAAATGTATGTCGAAAAAATTTTCGAAGAGTATTTTCGAAAGGGTGTAATGCGGGAAGGTGTTTACCTTTAAAAGATAACTGTATGTAATATTAAAGCAAACAGTGTATTATTAATTTGTTTAGTTTTCGAATAGATCAAGTTAGCAGCTTAATCAACTTGTTGTAGTCACGTACTTAAATAATTGTACCGTCTATGTTTGTGGTAAGATAACAAAAGATATTTTTTAAATGGATGATAATGTGTAACCCCACCCGCGTTATCTATACATGTGAAAATGATATGAGGATGAAGTAGGTCAGTTAGCCCATCGTGACGAATTCAACAAGAATTATTCACGATATTTCGACTTAATAGGTATATAGCAATGAGGCTGTTAAATCTTTTAGTTTCCCCCTGTGTACATAGTGTCTTCAATTCAACATCAACAGAACTCCATTGCTAACAATCCTTTTAACAAAAGATATTGCGGCTTATCAAAACCTATATCTGTTCTTTGTTGGATGTGAGACGTGGACATTAACTCAGAAAAGGAAGGAAATGGATAAACTTAGAGCCTTTGAAATGTGGTGCTGGAGAAGGATGGAGAAAATTAGCTAGAGGGATCGAATTAGCAATGAGGAGGTCCTGTTTAGGGTTAAGGAAAAAAGACAAATTATTAGAACTATTGAGGACAGAAGGGGAAAAATGTTGGAACACTTAATACGAAGAAGAATGTTGTCCCACCCGATTGTCCTCCATTCACTTTTAGCTTGGTGACTGTAGATGTTGTCAAGAGAACCATTCGTTCATTATCTACTAAAGCTATCGGTAGCGATAATGTGAGCCTTGATATGATCCTTCCCGTGTTGGATGTTATTTTGCCTGTGCTCACTCACATAATTAACTTTTCTCTCATGCATAATGTCTTCCCATCACAATGGAAAAAGGCTTACGTCATACCACTTCCTAAATCTACTAATCCGACTAGCTTTTCCCAGTACCGTCCCATATCTATTCTTCCCATTCTTTCAAAAGTTTTAGAATCTATAGTTCACAGCCAATTATTTAAATTTCTTTCCACCAACTACCTTTTATGCCCCTTTCAATCGGGCTTCCGACCCTCTCATAGCACTACTGGAGCGCTTCTTAATATTACAGAGGACATACGTCGGGCTATGGATAGCACAAAATTGACTGCAATTGTTTTGTTGGATTTCAGTAATGCTTTCAATTCGGTTGATTTTGATGTTCTATTAACCCTTCGTGCAGTCAACGTTTCCACTCCAGTTATCGAATGGTTCTCTTCTTTTCTTTTCGGCCGCCAGCAGTGTGTTAGAACCAATGATGGTTTATCGAACTGGGCTTCATTAACTGCTGGCGTGCCTCAAGGCGGTGTACTTTCCCCTTTATTATTTTCTATCTTTATTAATAATATTTCTTCATTACTTCTCCCTTCCATCTGTATGCGGATGATCTGCAGTTGTATCGTCACTTTATGCTGTCTGAGGTTACACAGGCAACTTCAGCTCTAAACGATGATCTACTGGCTATTCACTCCTGGGCTAAATCATTTGGTCTTATTGTTAATCCAGCCAAATCTCAAGCTATGATTGTCGGTAGTGGCAGGCTGAGGTGTAAGTTGGAATGGTCTCAGATTCCTCCATTGGTATACGAGGGTACTAAGATATCTTATACTGATAAAGTGAAAAACTTAGGACTTATTATGGATAGTACATTGTCGTGGACCTCTCATATTAATGACATTAGTAGACGGATGTACTTTTCATATCACTCTCTCAAACGTCTCCAATACTTTCTCCCTTTCAATACCAAAATTATGCTTGCACAATCTATTCTTCTTCCCATTCTGGATTATGCCGATGTCTGTTTCTTAGATGTGACCGAGGAGCTGCTAAATAAGCTTGAGCGGTTGCAAAATTTAGCGATAAGGTTTATTTTCAGCTTACGAAAATATGATCATGTCTCGGAATACCGCACTCGTTTAAAGTGGCTCCCAATTAGACATCGTCATGAGACACATGTCCTAGCGGTCCTATATAATATCCTTAATAATCCCAATTCTCCTTCCTACCTTCGTTCCCGGTTCCAATTATTACCTCCTCCTTCCAGACCTAGACGTCTTTGTCTGAACCAGTCCAGGGTACTGAAGCTTCCCTGCTGTAAAACCCATTTTATGGGTAACTCATTTGCATATCGTGCTGTACAGCTGTGGAATAAACTTCCCGTGAATATTCAGAATAGCCCGTCTAGCAGTTCCTTCAAAAAAAAGATTAAAATCATTTTATCTTTCCAATTTAATTTAAATATAAAAATGATTAGAAGACTGTCATCATTGTGTTCTCTTGTATTTGATATTTATATGTTGTATTTAACGTGTGTATGTATGTGTGTATATGTATGTGTATGTGTATATGTATATATATGTGTATGTGTATGTATGTATATATGTGAATGCATGTGTGTATATATATAATTATTTATAATTTATGTAAATATTTATTTAAATTTCTGTCTTGCACTACTACTGCCCACTCACTACTTCCTATGCCACTGCGTTAGGTTGACTGGAAGAAATCTCTTTTAGAGATAAGTTCGCCTTTGCTAACATTGTTATTAACTTATTGTTGTTACTGTATGTTTTTGTGCAATAAAGAATATATAAGAATAGAAGGTAAGATAGAAGGAAGGAGGGGAAGAGGGAGACCGAGACATAGTTACATTGGGCAGATCAAGGAAAGAGTTGGTGTCGTGTCGTATCAAGAGGTGAAGAGACTCGCTGAAAATCGTAGTGAGTGGACCACCACCACCACCGACAAGAGCGCAGCTCTTAAATAGGATAGATAGATAGATGTTTGTGGTTCTTATATATGTATATTTACGTGTTTAAAGCTTGATATTAATATTATATAGATCTTTATGTGACATTATTTATTATTATTGATCATACAAATCATTCGTTAACTGTCCACTGCTGAACAAAGGCCTTCACCATAAGGGGAGTTTTGTCAGTAATTGCTACGATTGACAGGCGGATTGACAACCGCAGGTAGGCTTTGGTGATTTTTTTTTATACAACTTAGAAAGGCAAACAAGCTGACGGCCCACCTGATGGAAAGCGGTAACCGTCGCCTATAGACATGAGTAGTACCATGGACATAACAGAGTATACTGTTTCGCCCATGATACCCCCCATGCGTTGCCATTCCTGAGGACTCAGGTATTATTCCTCTGTACCAAATAAATTCACACCATATCCCACCCTTCAAACCGAAACTCACATGTTTTAAAAGAGATGCTACTGTCCATTCCACAACCATTTAGGTTCTTTAGTCGCCTCTTAAGATACTCACGGGAAAGGAAGGGGTGGCCCATTCTACGCTGGGACCACACAGCAATGACATAATTATAGATATAATATTCTTATTGTAAAGTAGGCATCTAGTATAGAGAGATAATTTGAAGAAAATGTAATGAAACTATTATTGTTTTTTTTTAAATATCACTGAGGTGTCAATCAAGCATACGGCCCACCTGATGGTAAGTGATTACCATAGCCTATGAACGCCTGCAATACCAGGGGAATTACGCGCGCGTTGCCGACCCTGAAGAAGCCTCTTTACCCCCTTTTGAAGAACCCCTTTTGAATGATTTACTGACAACCATTAATCTGAATTTTCGACATTTCTATTTATAAAGCCACGACAACTAATAATAAATTAATTGAATAAACTGTCGAATGTCTTGTTCACGATACAGGAAGTCAACAATAAGGATACAAACTTCGAAGAAATACAACTATCAAATGGAAATAATTCGTAGAAAGAATACTATAGTATGAAAATAATATTTATTTTGTGATATGAATGTAATTTGAAATGAACGGTGTTTAAAAGCATAAATAATTTAGTTCTGAGAATCGAATAATTGAAATATTAATATTTATGTATCGTTCACGATTCTAACATTAATTTTTGTCCATCTCTAGTACTTACCCAAAACTAGATTAGAATAAAACCTCGTGGCTTTATGCCTATACGGGATACGTTTACTCTATCTCCCTTAGGTATTCCCAAAAACCCTTTCGTAATATAATTATATGAAGAATTTCTGTGTATTTTCCAAGTTTCTTGGCTTTATAGTTCCAGAGATTTCATGATTAGGCTGTAAGCGCTTTGGCTGGTAGTTAACTTTTATATAAATCTAGCTATTCCTTACGCAAATACGTTAGATCAGTCTCCATGGGATTTTTTAATTTATTTCTTGTCTTTTTATATACAAGATTAATCTAATTAATAAAAATAAATAAATTAATTATTTAGTATTAATCAAACATATAGCTTGTGAGATGGTAATGGTAAGCGGACATTGTAGTCCTTATGAGATTTACATAATTAAAGTATGTAAAAAAAATTTAAAGATATTTGTTACTAAATTCCACTAATGGCTTAACGAATTTGGATCAAATTTGGTACACAGATATGTCATATTCAAGATAATATACGTCATACGGTGTATAATATATAATCGCCGTGTGTGTCCCGGCATAGAATGGGCTACAGCTTCCTTTCTCGTGGGTTTCGTAAGAGGCGACTAAGGGAGGGCGAGGGATGGGCAGCAGCGCCCATCTTAAAACATCTCTAAAAACCTAACTGCGGTTGCCAACTCGCTTCCTAGGCGTGGCAACTACTGGCAAAACTCCCCTTATGGGAAAGGCTTATGTCCAGCAGTGGACAGTTACCGGTTGAAATAATAATAATGTATTCAAAAACTTACCTAGAACAAAACTAGCAGTATACACTCCACCACCAAAAGCCGGCTCCAAGAATTCAAATACAACGAACATCTCATAATTAACTGCGAGCGCTCTAATCACACCGAAGATTCCAGATGTAACAGCAGCGAATACTATGGCGAGTCGTCGGCCATATTTGTCCGATAGCAATCCAGCCAATGGGATTGCCACAAAGAAGCCTGCATTGTGAACGGTGCCTACCAAAGAACGCTTCCAGTCTTGACAGGCGAGGTTGAACTGGAAAAAGGGATAGCTCTTTTAGTAACTGGTAACTTTTAATTCTGGTAATAACAAGTTATTTTAGTAACTAGTTCTATTAGTAACAACATTCGTTAGTAGTTACTAGATCTTCTTTTCGACTATTGATTAGAAAAAAAGTATTTTCGAGTTTACATTTATAATTTTGAATTTTTTGCCACAATAAAGATTTTACAATACAATACAAAATATATAAATTAAATAATGAATAATTGGATAGATTTTAATAAACAGTGTAAGCGTATGTAAGATTTTTTTTTTTATTTTATGATAAATATAAGCATGCTAACCATTTAAAATAAAGATGGCGGACAACTGACAAAAACTCTGGCAAACTAATTCGACCTTAATGATTTTTTGTGACAGCCGTATATATATTTACCTAATCGCATTTTTTATACCAAAATTATTATCGGTTTGATCTGAAATTGGGCAATAAATCGGTATAAATGAGGTAATCTTTATGAGGTAAGTTTTTTTTTTTTTGATTTGTGAAAATGGTATGGTAACCCCGCCTGCGCTAACGGGATACGCTGGCGGAGCACCAGTGAAGGGTGATAGATGAGAATGAAAACAGGCCAGTTAGCCCATCATGATGAATTCATCAGGAATTAACCATGATAGTTTCCAGGGGGAACCGCGAGGAGGTCGACCTGGTTGGGTATTTTGCTAGCAATGGGATTCTCAGTCTCCATTACTAACAATCCCTTTTCCCCCCTTATGAGGCAAGTTACTTCATATAAATTATGTTAAGTAGAGATCTATGTTCATATTAAAAAAGTTTTGAACAATAATGATATTACATGTAGTAGGTATGGATGAACACGGAACCTTATACTGTATACTCTGTTATGTCCATGGTACTGCTCATGTCTATAGGCGACGGTTACCACTTTCCATCAGGTGGGCCGTCAGCTTGATTGCCATTCTAAGTTGCATAAAAAAAAATAACCTAATATAATAATAATGATGCACAATGACAATATTTATGTTACGAACAGATGAAGGTATATTTATTTATAAATTAGAGTTATAATGCTAAATCGGAAATTGCATTGTGTTGAAGATTATATGAAGTCGTTATGTAACATAGGTATATTATTTACAACGAATTGTTTATGATTTCTTGAATGACGATTCATTGTAAAATAACTTAATAGTCGAGGGACGGGTCACAGGTGTCGCTTGGAAAATCTCAGCCTAACTGCAGTTGTCAACCCGCTTGACAAGCCTCACAAAACCCCCCTTATGATGAAGTCTTTTTTCATCACTTATCGGCTGATATGTTGATGATGATTGTAAAAAACTGTACACCAATTACAGTAATTACTTGTAGAAATGATATATACTTTAATAGAATATTGTCTTCTTTATCTTACAGAAATGACTGTATGTTTTTGTATGAATGTGCGATATGTATGGATGAATAGGTTGTTTTTTTTTAATGGATGATAATTGAATGGTAACCCCACCCGCGTTATCGGTATACACCGGTGGGGCACCAATGAAGGATGATAGGTGAATATGAAGCAGGTCAGTTAGCCCATCGTGACGAATTCAACAAGAATTGTTCACGATGGTTTCCAGGGGGAACCACGTGGAGGTCGACTTAATAAGGCATATTGCTAGCAATAGGGCTGTTAAACTCCATTGCTAACAATCCCTTTCCCCCCGATTTTATATAATTTGTAAAAAAAAATATAATTAAATAATAAGTAATTAAATGAACGTTATCCACTATAATTATTTTTATTTTTCTATTTTTGCTTTAATGGTATTCGTTGTTTGTTTGCCCATTTGAAGAGGATGAATGGAAGAAGAATTGCGAAAGAGATTTATCGAACACGAATGAATGGAGATGTTGATAAGGGCCGCCTTAGACGGACGTATGTCGACTAAATACTTCACAAGAAACGCACCAGTGAGTGATGATAAATGTGGATGAAAAGGCAGATAAGTTCGCTTATCGTATTGAATTCACTTGAAACTGAGCACGACGGTTTCCAATGGGAACCGCGAAGAGCACAAGAACATGTTGTCACGGCTTTGGAAATGGCTAGATTTTGTGATTTTATATTATAATTTTAAAGTGTTAGAAATTTTCACTCTATTGTAATTTAGTCATTTGAAATTCGAAGTTTTCATATGTCGATTCAAGTGAGAAAACAGAATTAAAACATGCACGCTCGGTCACGAATGAATATTCGCGTGACTCATTCATTAATGGTTCAGATGGTGGCAGTGTGAAATCGCAATTACTGCGGGATTTTGTGATAGATGGCCGTCACAGGGCCGGCTTGAGTTTGTCCTGTTTGTAACAATTTAATGAATAATTTAATTAATTAACTTGCGGTTTTATCGACTTGAATTGAGATGAAAATATCCTGTGTTAATGGTTAATCAAGATACCAATGGTTCATTTGAGTGTTTGTTTGGGGGTTTAAATCAATCATTAGTAAAAGAGTTTTTTTTTCTAATGGATGATAATGAAATGATAACCCCACCTACGCTATCGGTATATACCAGGGCACCAGTGATAGATGATAGGTGAGGATAAAAGGATAGGTCAGTTAGCTCACTGTGACGAATCTAACAATAAATTAATCACGGTGGTTTCCAGGGGGAACCACGAGGAGGTCGACCTGGTAGGGTATATTGTTAGCAATGGGGATGCTAATCCCCATTACTAACAATCCCTTCTCCCTCCAGTCAAAGAGATTTGTAATTTAAAGCATCTACATAAAGTAATGTAAACTCCGTCGCCAATCAAAATAGTTAATAGGTTGCTGAATAGATTTCAATAAAATTTTGTACAAGGCTAGGTTATATCCTAGCTTAGCACATATTTTATATACTAATTCATGTGTGTGAAGTTACATGATACAGATAGTAGGTAAACATGGAAGTAAGTAGACTGCATAAGGCAGGGGTTCCCGAACTTATTTTGTCTATTGCCCACTTTGAGAATAAATAATTTTTAGCGCCCCCATTTTTTTCATCTGCTTAAAAACTACTATTACTTCAAGATCAACAAATCACCTCCCCAAGCCTCTACACAACGCCCCGATTTTTTTTATGTCTCTTACCCCCTTTAGGCCTGCAGCATCCACAAGGGGGCGTTATCGCCTACTTTGGGAAAGGTATAAGGTATAAAGGTGGGTATCTCTACAGCTCAATCTTCGCTTTTGTGGTGCACTAGTCTCGTTAGTTGTGGTGTGAATACGGTCTCAATACTGAATCAATGCGCTGTAATGCGCTTAAGTTATACGATTGCAATGAATCGTGGTTGCAGTTCAAACTCTCCTCAGTGCAAGTGTTTGAAGGTTAAAGTTCAGAAGTAATTTATTTATATATTAACATGTATAATGTATGTAATATAAAAGAATATGTATAAATATATAATAGTAATAATATAATATGAGTAGTAGTATACAGTTCAATAGAAAGAGAAGTTAATTAAATTGTAATTTAATTAACTTCTCTTTAATTAATTTTATAATTTTATTTATGTGGTTACTTATTTTTTTAAGAAATAAAAAATATTAAATATTTATTTAAAGCTATTGCAGTGTCCAATAAAAATATCCCTAACGCCACCACTGGACCCCATGATCTGTACATTAAACCGCGAACTGTAACCGAAGCGACACGGCTGTCAGGAAACACGTGGGGATACTGTGGACCCTGTGCGTTGCCATTGTTATACAAATTTAAATATAAATATAAATTCATATATAACTTACGATTTTATTCTAGAATAAGATTAATTAAGATTGTGTTTCAGAAAAAAAAAAAACCTATTTCAGTTGTTGCAGTAACCAGTTATTTTCATTTAAAAACTAAACTACTAAATCGATTTTGATATTATTCTATATATATATATATATATATATATATATATATATATATATATATATATATATATATATATATATATATATCCTTTCAGATAACAAATGTATTTTTAAGTTGGTTTACAACTGACGGAGTTATGAAGTAACGATCATAAAAAAATATAACTAAATTGAGAACCTCTCTTTTTGTAGTCGGTTAAAAATACTTTTCAGACTGAAATATGCAAAAAAAAATTTTGATGTATTTTGATTAGCTTTTTTTTATTTCCGATAAATGTGAGTAAAGCCTTGATGATAGAAATTACCGTCAGGTTAGTGGACTTGGATTTTTCCAATCCATTCTCCTGATAGGTATCGTAAGTATGCAGCCTAATATACTTAGAGCCATATTAATATAGTGTATTAAAATGAGAGTACTAGAGATTTTATTAAATCGATATTCCATTATTATTGACAAAATTTGATGCCTATTGTATTTCTACCTTACATTTTAATATGTTTTTTTTTATGTAACTTAGAATGGCAAACAAGCTGACGGCCCACCTGATGGAAAGTCGTAACCGTCGCCTATAGACATGAGCAGTATCATAAACATAACAGAGTATACTGTTTCGCCCATGATACCCCCCCATGCGTTGCCATTCCTGAGAACTCAGGTGTTATTTCTTTGTATCCTGTAAATTCACTGGCATATCCCACCCTTCAAACTAAAATACAGCCATGCAAACAACTGCTTCACGGTAAAAACACGAATGGGACAAAGGTACCCAAGCAAACGACTTATGTACAGTCTCCCTCTGGTCCATTGCTAACAATCCCTTTCCCCCCTGGAAAGGGATTGTTAGCAATGGAGTTTGACAGCCCTATTGCTAGCAATATGCCTTATTAAGTCGACCTCCACGTGGTTCCCCCTGGAAACCATCGTGAACAATTCTTGTTGAATTCGTCACGATGGGCTAACTGACCTTCACTGGTGCCCCGCCGGTGTATACAGATAGCGCGGGTGGGGTTACCATTCCATTATCATCCATTAAAAGAAAAAGTCTCCCTCTGGTAGTACTTTAGTACTATAACTTGTACTGTGAAATTAGTAAGGATTGAAACCATTGTATGCGGCACTTTACTCAGTCATTCTCACCGATGTATTTATCTACATTATATGTAAATTATGTAGGTATTTATAAAAATATAAATACCTTGGCACTTTTTTGCTGGATTTAGAATTTTGATGACCGACGAGTGTCATAGTAAAATTAATTTTACGTCCATATATTTACGGTGCATTTTGTCAGAAACCAACGTGTCGAATTAAGTATTGTTGATTATTGTAATAATAATTTCCGTAGTACATAAAAGGAGTTGTAATTTCAGTTATTAGAGTGCTCATGAGCGCGGCTCGATATTTAGATCTGAATACAATGAAAGAATAAAGGATAATGGTTTGCACAGATGGGACGGACGTTTAGTCCGCGGACAAATAGTCCTTCTGTGTTTCCTTTGTAAGTCGGACAAGATATGAGTAAAACATTTTAAAAAGTTTAGATATGATCTAAAATTTACGTTTCAGATAGTATATCTTAATACTGACAGAATCCTATTAATATTGTGAATAAATAACAGAAATAATATTAAATTCAGTTCCGTGTCAATTGGGAGTACATATTTGTTTATTTAAACTAATAAATTTCTTAATTTTAGTACACATACTAAGTAAATAGACTAATATAAATATTTACTACATTATATCAGCTGTGAATTGGCCACTGTTGAATATAGGCCTCCCCAAAGGGGAGTTTTGTTTTAATCGCCTCCTACGACATCCACGGTAAAGGAAGGGATGTCCTATTTTTATATCGGGACCACACGACTTATTTTACTTTATACTCTGATCTAATTTTCTATTTCTAATGTTAATTATTTACTTTAATAATCTGACATTGTTTAGTTAAAATTATTAACGATATTGGTAGTAACAGATGGTTTAATTGAGTTGTAGTTAATATAAATCCTCTCCATCCAAAGGTTGCCTGGAAGAGATCGTTCTTAGCGATAAGGTCGCCTATTGTTTTCTCATTGTGATTATTTTTATAATTATTTATATTTATAATAAGTTTACTATTGTAATCTTTTGGAGGAAACAATAAAGAGTATCTATCTATCTATCTATAAATATATAATATTATAGTAAACATGTAGAAAGTTCCACAACGAACTGTCCATAACCATTTGAATCAGCAGATGTTTGTGCAATAAAATTTCTACATTGCAAATACAAGTTCCTACTTCCCCCTTCATGTCAAGTCTTTATATAAAATTCTACGTGTACCTACCTGGAATGGTACACAACTTGATTTATTAAATGTTTACTACCTTTATGTTTTTTTTTATGCAACTTAGAATGGCAAACAAGCTGACGGCCCACCTGATGGAAAGTGGTAACCGTTGCCTATAGACATGATCAGTACCATGGACATAACAGTGTATACTGTTTCGCCCATGATACCCCCCATGCGTTGCCATTCCTGAGAACTCAGGTGTTATACCTCTGTACCCAGTAAATTCACGTCATATCCCACCCTTCAAACCGAAACACAGCCATGCGAACACAATTGCATTACGGTAGAAACACGAATGGGACAGAGGTACCCAAGCAATCGACTTTTGTACAAAGTCTCCCTCTGGTATGTTATATTATGTCTTGATATATTTATTTAGGTATGTACATATTAAATGTAGAGTTCACTACGTTAGACCGAATTAGTAAAAGGTGCACAGTTAGTCTATTTTATTGATATTTTATTCGAACTTCGCTAAATGTAAACCAATTTTTAGCCGACGTCAAAAAGAATTCAATTTGGTTGTATCTCAATTTAGTTGTATTTATTTATGTTTGTTACCTCATAACTCGGTCAATTCTAAAATATAACTTTTTGGATAATAAAAATTACTTTTTTACCTAAAAGGATATGCTTACAGATTGGTTCTATGGAAATTTTATCAAATTCGGCCCAGTAGTTTAATTTGTAGACCAAAATAACTGGTTTTGTCACAATTGAACTCAGTTTTTTTTTGAGGCACATAATCTTTAATTATAATAATTATTTTGAAAATCTATATTAATTTGTATATTTGTTTCATTTCGCAAAAACTACCTACTGCACAAAATTGGATGTGAATTTTGACTGTTGAATTTTTTAAGGTCTAACTTAAAATTTGATGTGGATTTTATTTGCTTATGTCATTAAAAGGATTTTGAAAATTCATGTATACGAAATTGCTTGTAGAAGCTAGTATATATAATTAGTAAATTTAATGTTTTTTTTATTAAACCACTTACCTCTTTAACAATAGAGTGATCCTCGAAATAGACATACGAGTCGCATAGGATCTCGTTGGACGAGTCGAAGTGTTCCGGTGAGCAAGTGTCGTTCGTGTAACTGGCGTTGGTGAATGTCGCATACCGAATGCACTTGTATGGAGTCCCGTCGGTGTCGTGGGGTATAGTGAAGTTGATAGATGACGGATCATCACCACACTCCGGGACAGCACACCTGTAACAATACTGTGGATGAACACGCCTCTTATTATGGGGATCTTTGTATATTGCTTCGATAGTATTTGGAATCTATGCTAATATTATATGATTATAAAGAGGAATGTTTGATTGTTTGTAATGGATAAACATTGAAAAAACAACTGAAAAACTACTCGAACTATCATCATGATTATATCAGCTGTTTTTTTTTATTGGTGAAAATGACATGTTAACTCCGCCTGCGCTATCGGTATACTCTGGCGGGGTACCAGTGAGTGGTGATAGGTGAGGATGAAGAGGCAGATCAGTTAGCCCATCGTGATGAAATTAACGATAAATTAATCACGATAGTTTCTATAGTATATGTTGTATTTAGTTTGGGACTGGATGGTGTATAATATTTTATATGATAGTGATAAAAGAAAAATTAGTGGTCAAAGCAAAATGATGGCCCCCATAAATTTTATATCGAACAATTGTAACTATTTTATGTAAATAACAATGCGGCGTTAATGCAAGGACGTCAGTTAAAATAACAATTTAGCTATTTGTTACGGCATTGAGTAAAAACCGCAGGTATGAAGAGATGGTTACGTTTTAGTATTCATCTAGTATACAACTGTTTATGGGTAATATAATATAAGTTACTGTTAGCCTTTGACATTAACTGAGCGTTGTGAAGAAAGAAGGGAAAACGTACTTGTACCTATGTTTTATTTATGTCTGGTCATGTTTGGTACAACTTTTTTTTTATACAACTTAGAATGGGAAACAAGCTGACGGCCCATCTGATGGAAAGTGGTAATCGTCGTCTATAGACATGAGCAGTACCATGGACATAATAGGGTATATTGTTTAGCCCATGATACCCCCATGCGTTGCCATTCCTGAGGATTCTGGTGTTTTTCCTCTGTACCCCGTAAATTCACGCCATATCCCACCCTTAAATCGAAACACAGCCATGCAAACACAATTGCTTCACGGTTGAAACATAAATGGGACAGAGGTATCCAAGCAACCGACTTATGTACAAAGTCTCCCTCCCTCCAACTTGTTTCTTTAATGGATGAAAATGGAATACTAAGTCGTAATATGTTTACGCTAGTTCGTACCTATCTATGAGATATAGGATAAAATAGGTGAGAATAAAATGAAGTCACGCAAGGAGCATCGCTACGAGTTAACCAGAAATTGTATATTAGGAGAGGTTTGACTTCCTCCATACGATTCTTTCTCTTAATCTGAGGTCATCTGGGAGCCTCCAGCTAAAGGCACCAGTACATTTCAAAAGTCTTATATGACAAATAGTCTATCAATTTAGTACCATCAAAGTACCTACCAAGCTTTAAAACAAAACTTAAGGACTTCTATCTGAGCGAAACCATGTCCATGTATATATGAGCAAGTCCATGGTACTGCTCATGTCTATAGGCAACGGCTACCACTTTCCATCAGTTGGGCCGTCAGCTTGTTTGCCATTCTAAGTTGTATAAATAAAAAAGCTATTTGATACTAACATTCATTTTATTTTTTATTTTTGTAACTATACATATATGTATGTGTATTTATATATTTATGTGTATATACATGGATTTATTTAAGTATGTATCAATAACATAAAATATACATTTATATATTTAGAGATATAACTCTATATTTATAGTATTTAAAGGAAGGAACAGAGTTTCATGCCTCTAGTCACACTGTTTATAATTACTCTTCTCCATCCAAAGGTTGCTAGGAAGAGATCGCTCTTAGCGATAAGGCCGCCCATTTTTTTCTCAGTGTAATATTTTCTTTAATTGTTTGTATTTATAATAAGTTTATTATTGTAACCTTATGGAGGAAACAATAAAGTGTATTTATCTATTATTTATTTATTACTAGAAATCATACTAACTATTATTATAAATGGGGGGAAGTGCAAAGGATTGTTTAGTTATAGTGTGTAATAACCCAATTGCTAGCAATTGCTACCCTTATACCTTTGTATCCTATTAGTCCCTATACTATATAGCATCCTATACCCCTGGAAACCATCGTGATTACTTCTTTTAAAATTTGTCACGATGGGCCAGCTGATCTAAGGGTCTACTACAGATTAGAGACTATAGGGTCAACCATGAAACATTTTACTGAAATTTCGGTACCGAACGAAAATACAAATATAATGTTGAAATTACATGATACGTTCTGTTTAAAAATATTAAAAATGTTAAAATATTGTTCCTTTGGTCTTTTATGGTAGAATTTATGAAGAATAAAATGTTAAGATTTATTATTGGGTCGATTTTAGTATGTACAAAAATACGAAATTGAGTCCGAAAATTTGACATTTCATTTCATGGTAGACCCCATGCTATCATTTTCAGCTATTTCTCATTGGTGCTCCGCCAGCGTATACCGATAGCATAAACGGGGTTACATTTCCATTTTTACCCATTAAAAAAACTATTATAAACGCAAATGTTTGCGAGGATGGATGGATATTTGTTAAGTTTCTATATAACCACTGAGCAGGTTTAAATGAAATCTGATACATTGATATGTTAACTAACTTAGAACATTGGATAATTGTATAGACTGATTCACACGTGAATTTACTGGGTATAGAGGAATAACACCTGAGTCCTCAGGAATGTCAACGCATTGGAGACATCATGGGCGTAACAGTATACTCTGTTATGTCCATGGCACTGCTCATGTCTATAGGCGACGGTTACCACTTTCCATCAGGTGGGCCGTCAGCTTGTTTGCCATTCTAAGTTGTATAAAAAAAAAAACGCGAGTGAAGTCTCTGGATACAGCAAGTAGGGAATTTGAGGATAGATTTAAACGTCTCTGGAACTAACACGTATGCATGTTACGAAATAAAAAAAAATTATGAACAAAGAGACGTGTGTAAGGATTGAGATGTACTCTCTACCTATTCCGAGAGGGTCTCGAGGAATGATTCCTCATAACAGCAAATAGTTGTGATAAATAAAAATTGGATAATTATTTTTAATTATTTAAATTAATTACAGTGCCACTTAGCAGAGCGATACAGGAATTAAACATACTATTATAAATAAATTTGTGAATGAATGAATGAGTATACTTTATTTGCATTATACAATACAGAGAATAAGCAAGACAATTTACAAACACAACGATACAATTGTATAAGTACAGTAAGGCGGTCTTATTGCTGAGAGCAATCTTTTCAAGACAACCTTAGGGTAATGGACTAATTGTTGTACAAGTGGGTATGGTAGTATTGTATAATTAAAAAAGTACCTGTATCAAATTTATATTTATTCGTCCCTTCTCGTCAGGCATAAAGATGACAAGTCGTGATGCTGTTGTATTGAAACGAGAAAAAGGACAACGTTTTTTTGTTAATGCTATAATGAATTCATGATGGATGAAGTATGCACATTACATTAACACATACATCAATACAAAGTGAGAAAAATAAAAGTAAAATAAACCAGTCTTGAATGTCAAACAAGGTTACCGTAGCCGTACTAAGTAACTCAATAACCCGGAGCTAAATATTTATAAACGTTCGGGATCAGCTTTCGGGGCATAATTTAAAAAAGTTCGCTCTTTGATTTGTACTTTCTTTTGCTCCGCATAATATTAGGCTTGCTAATATTACGTCTACAGAAATTTATAGTAGAAATAAACACCAGATTGCGAATTTAATACGTCCGCCATTGTTTTCCTTTTCATAAGATTTGTGAAAAGTGTTAATTTGCAAATAAACTGGTTTCTACCAGTAAGGGAGCCTTACACTCATCTATCAACCCTGAGATACTGGGAAAAAGGGATTGCTAGTAATGGGGTTAAACAGCCCCATTGCTAGCAATACACCCTATCAGATTGACTTATATGTGAATGTATTTTATATTCAGCTGTATTCTATGTTCAGCAGCGGAGGGAATACATATATATATATATATATATATATATATATATATATATATATATATATTATCGTATATAATAGAAGAAATTTATGTGCCGACTGATTTACATATTAACAAATGACCAAAAGTTTTCAGAAGGTTTTATAACATTCCCCGAAATTACCACTGAATATACAATGGAATTCGCTCAGCTGTAATTGTGGGGTTTCATAAATACATAGAAGGGAAACTAAAATAAGTACATTGACCTTACCCTTGAGTTCATTCACTTCCATTCTCCTTTATGTATAAGTATATTTATTGTATGACACGATAAATGTAACGTAAAAATATAATAGAACCTAAATACTTTTATCACGATTGATGATTGATGAATAATAAAATTTTACAATTAATCTTACATAGTGAATGCCTTATAATTATTTTATAATTTTAACCTATATTTAATTCAATACTCAATTAAAATAGAGTTTCTTTAAGGAACATTGCAAAAACAGCATTCAATTTAGTTTTGTCTTTATGGCTGACAAAAATAACTGAAGTCACTTCATCATCACTGGCACAAGATGGTTAATCTTCATATGTTTAATCATCATCATCATTGGATGATGACGTTAAATTTTGTCACCACTACTTAGTAAGTATAGTAAATAATACTATGATTTCATAACCATTAATTATTGATCGCGTAAAGAATCATTTAAATACTTATAAAAAAATACTAACGAATTAAACATTTTTGATTTTTTAATATGAATATTGTTTTGTGTATTTCTTAGAAATTGAGAAATTAGTAAGAAAAAGAAAGTAAATTAAGTGAAATTTAAGAGTTGAATACATCGTGTTTGTATGGAAGGTTCGAAATGGTTTACCGTATGATTAAACTAACATTTTCGATATCACCCTATTAAGAGTGGTATATTATGGAAAAATTACAAAAGTTGCAATTAAAAAGTTTATTTTTGGTTTTTACATGTCACATCTAATTAAGGTCGGCGCAAATACTTCTCTTCCACTTTTTTATCATTCGAAGACTTGAACGTATCTTTTTGTCACGAGAATGACATTGAGAGAATGTCTACTGACTGGTTCCGTTTAGTACTGTCGGGGAAAAAAGTAACCAACCACTGCTTAAGCAAACCCAAAGTTCCTCGTAAGTATTATAACAAAATATCTTTAAAAAAATTTAAAATATCTATAAAAATAGATATAGATGGAGCACGAAGTACGAGAAAACGTTCAAATCAAGTTATTCAACAATAAGTCAACACGTCGTTTTTTTATATCGAGATTTCAATTTAAACAAACAATTACAAGGTATACAAAAGGGGCATATAATACTGTTGGCAATGGCAATTTGTGTAACAAAAAATTGTCATAAGTATCAATTCATCCTATCGCGCCATTTTCAAAAAAATTTTTTCTGTATAAAAAATTTTAATAATTTATTGTATATCACCAAAGTATTTTTTTTTTGATGGGTGAAAATGGAATGGTAACACCGCCTGCGCTAACGGGATACGCTGGCGGAGCACCAGTGAAGGGTGATAGATGAGAATGAAAACAGGTCAGTTAGCCCATCATGATGAATTCATCAGGAATTAACCATGATAGTTTCCAGGGGGAACCGCGAGGAGGTCGACCTGGTTGGGTATATCCCTTCCTCCCCTCACCAGAGTATTTGACCACCAAATTAATTGACCACGTTTCTTATTTGGTCATGTAATTATTTATATTGGTTTTATTCACGTACTAAATTTGGGGATGCTCGACTGCTTTTGAGCTTAATAGGAGCCTTTATTCATAAGGGATGTTTACGGCTATGGCGTGAGCGTTTTGATCTTACTGACGTTTTAATTAAATCGTTATATAAAAATGTATTCTTTAAAAATCTGGTTCACTGGTTTCAGTTTTAAACTTAATATTTATTTATTTATACATTAAAAATAATTACAACTTTTTTTTATACGACTTAGAATGACAAACAAGCTGACGGCCCACCTGATGGAAAGTGGTAACCGTCGCCTATAGACATGAGCAGTACCATGGACATAACAGAATATACTGTTTCGCTCATGATATCCCCTATGCGTTGCCATTCCAGAGGACTCAGGTGTTATTCCTCTGTACCCAGTAAATTCATTCCATATCCCACCCTTCAAACCGAAACAAAGCCATGCAAACACAACTGCTTCACGGTTGAAACACGAATGGGACAGAGGTACCCAAGCAATCGACTTTTGTACAAAGTCTCCCTCTGGATTATAAACCTAGTGTGCTAACATATTAAATTATAATAAAAGTATTTAACCCAACTTCAGATATGTCAGAGCCGCTTCTAATATCATTGGCAGGCCACTTCTAAAAACATATCATACAGACGTTTTATAGTATTAATGCGTATTTAATAAACAAGGATGATATGCATATACTGATCATTGGTGGCAATGACTTTATGTAAATAATGGAGATTATGTTCCGCAACATGATCAATGCGACCAGATCAGAATCATTGATCAATGACTACCATTTTTATTAATGTAGGTACGTTCTTTATATTTTTATTTTCAACAATGTGGAATGGCGTTTAAGCTGTGAGTTTTTATACTTTTTAAAATATGTTACTCGCGTAACAAAGGTCCTAACCTTATACAGAGGGGGGAAAGGGATTGTTAGTAATGGAGACTGAGAATCCAATTGCTAGCAATATACCCAACCAGGTCGACCTCCTCGCTATTCTCCCTGGAAACTATCATGGTTAATACGGTAGAAACACGAATGGGACAGAGGTACCCAAGCAATCGACTTTTGTACAAAGTCTCCCTCTGGTAATTTACTAATGGTGTAATGAATAAAAATATTTTGAATTGATTCGTCGCTTAGCCAGTCTATAGGACTCAACTAATCAGGTCACGTCTTCGCAATCCACTTTAATTACTTCAACATGTTGATTAGTAATATATTGATAGACTTTATCGCTGTGAATACGCCTTAAGTAAAGAGTGCATTCAAATAGTTTCTTTAAAACGTACCTAACCTTATTTGTATTGTTAGTATTAATGTTAATGATAAATATATGAAGTCACGTAAATAGTAAATAGGCGATGGTTACCACTTTTAGTTAGTAGTGAATAGTAAATAGGCGATGGTTACCACTTCCCATCAGGTGGGCCGTTAGCTTGTTTGCCATTCTAAGTTGCATAAAAAAAAAAAGAATAAATGAATGAATTAAGTTTTTTTTTTTACTAAAATTTGGTACAATATAGTAAAATGGTAATATTACAAAAGCTAATTTCACATTTTTTGTCATTACTGCCATGTAACAGTCATTATAAAGGTTATATTATTGTTTTTGAACTTCGTTTTTTTTCTCTGAATACCTCAGAGTCTGATGTAAATATTTATTTTAGTTACTGTTTAGCACTACTACTGCCTACTCACTACTTCCTATGCCACTGCGTTAGGTTGACTGGAAGAGATCTCTTTTAGAAATAAGTTTGCCTTTGCTAACATTCTCATTAACTTCTTGTTATTACTGTATGTTTTAGTGCAATAAAGAATATATACAAGGTGAAATTTAAGTCATACATAAAATGTAATGTAAGTTAAGGGATACGTAATATTAAGAATCTACCCACAATGTAAAACAAATTAAGATAGAAATCCCATTTATAAAAAAATAAAAAATGGTAAATTATTCGTGTTGTGTTAGTATGATGATATAGTGATATCACCTGTTTACTGTCTATATCTCTTAGGCCTCCCCCTTGGAGGAATTTGCCAATAATTGCCATTATTGGCAGGCAGGACCACGGTAAGTGTTATTATGGATGGCCAGCATAGAATGGGCCATCCTTTTCCGTGGGTTTCATGGGCACCAGTGGAAGATGATAGAAAAGAAGGAATGCAGATCAGTCGGCTCACCATGATGAATTCGACAAGAATTAACCATGATGGTTTCCAGGAAGAACCGCGTGGAGGTCGACCTGAGATGGTATATTGCTAGCAATGGTGCTATTAGACCTCATTACTAACAATCCATTTGCCCCCGCAGTACGCATATTACCCATGTCTACTTAAAAAGACGCACACATATTCGATTTCACCCTGTAGATACAGTTATGTATACGGCTTAAATGTTAACAGTTATTTTCGAGTTATAACGCCTTCTCAAATACGATATTAGCGGTCGTAAACGGTCAAGTATCCATTTGCCGAGCGAGCCGTGTTTTGCTTAACCTCCTTCGTTTCCGATCGCAACTTAGCCGCGTTAATTATGTATAATAATAGGGATCGTGTATTAGTTTGCTCGATATTTTGCGATCACTTTCTATTTCTGTTATATCAGACTATTTATTCTTATTCTGAGTATTTTTAAAATAAAAAAAAATATAATATTATAAATATTTTTCCACCTTTTAAAAAAAAGTGGAAATTATTCGTTTGGAGGAGTGTCATTCGTAACGTTTACATTGGATTGCTCGACAAATGTACAGTATTAGTTTATTTTACTGAAATGGTTTGCTTTCAGGATGGTCGTGTGTTAAGTTTATAATTGTAATATAAAAAAAAAAACACGAATGATGATAAATGAGATGAGATCATTTGTTAAAGTTGTAAAAATATAATTAAATTAAAAGAACAATATTATTAAGCTATATATCTATATAGATAAATATATGTGTTTAATTTTTATGGCACATTTAAATTATAATAAATAAAGTATTACTTAAATTGTCGGTATTTTTATTATATATATATATATATATATATATATATATATATATATATATATATATATATATATATATATATATATATATATATATATATATATATATATATATATATATGTCTTCAATCAATTCAAATAAATTCTTTTTTACTCCTTGAAAATGACACGCCTTTAAATAATAATAATTTCTATTTAAATATTTTGTTTAAATTATAATGACATTACATTTAACTTAATTGTAATATTTTTAACATATATTTTCTTTTGTTTAATTATTACTTTTGTTAAAATACGTATTTTTTTATAAACAATTTCCATATAGTATTTAAATTATACTGATTAAGGAAATAAAGACATTATTATAATTGCAGATTCATAAAAAAAGTAACTTATTTTTTTTCTATTTTTAATTTCGTGACCGTGATTATTTGAAGAATAATGTTATGTATGAAACTTTATGTAAACATACACTTATGGTAAGTAATATAAATATACCCACCTATAATCCAAGTCCATGCTTTCAAAATTGTATACAGACGAATACATCCCAGCTAGGAATACAGGAAACAATATTAAAATGAAATTATAAATATTAAACTTTCCGAACGGTCCCAAAATCGATAGGATATCATCAACTGTGACCTCCTCACTTTTTTTATCGGTATCCATTTTTCAAAAATTTTATTTGCACACTTTTTTCTTTTAATAATAGTGATTTATTATAAACTTTATTGATTTACTGCGAGCGTAATGCGGATCGATACGCGACGTGCGCGCGAGTGCCGACACTCGATCGATAGTGGTCGCTCGCTCCCCGATTTATAGTTTTTATCGATGTAAAAATCATTGGGCCAAGTTATCGGTTTAAAACTATTTTAGTTTAGTATAGTAATAGTAGAGGATTATTTAGTGTTTGTTTAATTTTTGATAGTGATGTTACTAGATTTTTGTTAGGTTTTGTAGTAAAGTAATACTTAACGATACTTATAACAACTATGAGAGCGTTGTGGTTCACTGGTATACCCTCGTTTTAGATCGCAAAGTTTGTAAGTTCGAGTCTGGCAAACATAAAAAAAAAAATGTGTGTCCATTTAATTTTCGAACAACCTTCAGATGATAGGAATACCTTGTTAGTTGTTTCGGTTTGAAGGGTCTTTTTTTTTAAATGGATGATAATAGAATGGTAACTCCGTCTGCGCTATCGGTATACGCTGGCAGTGCACCAGTGAGGGATGATAGGTGACAATGATAAGGCAGGTCAGTTAGCCTATCGTGATGAATTCACTTGGAATAGAACACGATAGTTTCCAGGGGGAACCGCGAGGATGTCGACCTGACAGGGTGTATTGCTAACAATGGGGCTACTAATCTCCATTTTTAACAATTTGAAGGGTTTGAAGGGTCGGATATGTCAGTGAATTATCTTTGTACAAAGGAATAACACCTTAGTCCTCAGGAATGGCAACGCATGGAGGGTATCATGGACAAACAGTATACTCTGTTATGTCCATGGTACTGCTCATGTCTATAGGCGACGGTTACCACTTTCCATCAGGTGGGCCGTCAGCTTTTTTGTTGTTCTAAGTTGCATAAAAAAATCTACGACAAACTAAATTATATATTTGTGACATATGAATCTGTTAAGTATAATATTATCTAATTATTTCATTTTTTTTTCTTTTTTTTTTTTATAGAACTTAGAATGGCAAACAAGCTGACGGCCCGACAATTATTTAATGCATGGATGTACCGCCTATCTATTTTTCTGTTTGGCCAATGGCTCACTGGTAGAGAATGCTGACGTTAGCCATCGATTGCACATATAATTATATATATATTATATATAATTATAAGATAATTATACTGTATATTAAAGATTAATTAGTAAAAAAATAATTCGAATAATAGCAGTATAGCTATGCTTATATTTCGTTATGTTCAACACAACCGGTATAGTTGGTAAATAAAAGTTATCTAGCTAATAGAGATTAGGCCTTCCCCCTATTAGATGGAGTGACAACCTAAAATGCATTGCAGGGAGTCAGTGGATGCAGGTGGCTTAGGACCGTTTCTTATGGCAGTCTATGGGGGAGGACTATGTCCAGTAGTGGACGGATAATGGCTGAAATGCCATTCTAAGTTGTATAAAAAATGTATATATATATATATATATATATATATGTATATTATAATAATTCATAAAGGCCCAGTAACTGTATGCAGTTAACTTTAACATTACTATTATTAAAAGAGTGTTATTTTTTGTAATGGATGTTAGCTGTTAGAGGAATACGTACTTTGATCCTTATATTTTAACTTAGCAAATGGGATACTGATTGATTACTGCATTATGTGCCTTTTTAGGTGAGCAAAGCCACAGGATACAGCTTTTTTTATACAACTTTGAATGGCAAATAAGCTGACGGCCTACCTAATGGAAAATGGTAACCGTCGCCTATAGACATGAGTACCATGGACATAGTAGAGTGTACTGTGTCGCCCATGATACCCGGCATGCGTTGCCATTCCTGAGGACTCAGGTGCTATTGTTCTGTACCCTGTAAATTCACGCCATATCTCGCCCTCCAAACTGAAATACAGTCATTTAGCTTGTTTTGAACAAGTCTGAATTTATTAGTTAGCTAAATTAAATGTAGACTTGCCACATCCAAGTAACTATAAGAGCGGGCGGTTAACCAACACGGATCATAAATCACAGTTAGATTATTGTGGTTAGCCCTTATCCCAAATTGAAGATGTTGTAAGAACTTAACCGCGAATAGTTATTTATGGTGTTATAGTGTGTTCCCGTAGTTTAAGTACTTTAACCGACTTCATAAAGGAGGAGACTCTCTTAATAATCAACCATACTTTAAACCGACTTTAAAAGAAGGAGCTTCTCTATTCGGTTGTTGACTATGACATAATTATGCAGTATGAAATGAAGTAAACAATTTTGAAGGAATTAATACTGGACTAAAAATATTTTAAAAGTTGCGTCTTTAGTTATGGAAATATTCATTTGTTGTTCAATCACACTTAAACAGCTGCACAGTTTTGAATGAAATTTGGTTAATTAATAGGTTTGATCCTAATTTATCAGATAGGACATTTTATATAATGATTTATACAGGAAAAATGTAGTAAAGAATAAGATAATTACTACTTATTTATGGAGGGTAGATTAAATCAATTTAATTTATTAATTTACTATTAAATTAATCTACCCTATAAAAATAAGCATAATATTGTCTGGTATACAAATTGAGATTGGAATAAATGGCTAATATGTATATGGTATAAATATCATATTTTTATTTCTTGTTTATATTTATAATAATTTTACTATTGCAATCTTTTGGAGAAAACAATAAAGAGTATTTATTTATCTATCTATTTTTAATTATTCTAGATATAAGCTGTTGATTCCATACATAATTTTACAATAAAAAAAAATCTTTTAACCACACTTAATATAAATATATAACTGATTATTTATTAATTCGCATCGATTTATTAACTATCCATAGATCATTTTAATGAATAATATCGTTCGTATTATTAAAAACAGGCCATAGTAGTCTCATAGTATAATAAGGATAGTACTTGTAAAGCAATGTAATACAATTTCCATTTTAGTTCATGACACATTCGCGGCGCTAGAGATTCAGTGTTTTATTCCGTTGATGTGAACCTAGTATCGGATATTGCACTTGTGGACGTGATCTTAGTGATGCGACTAATGTTAAATTATCGATAATATCTATTTAAATTACTATTTTTTTTTATACAACTTAGAATGTCAAACAAGCTGACGGCCCACCTGATGGAAAGTGGTAACCGTCGCCTATAGACATGAGCAGTACCATGGACATAACAGTGTATGTCTGTTTCGCCCATGTTGCCATTCCTGAGGACTCAGGTGTTATTCCTTGTACTCAGTAAATTCACATTATACTAGCTAAATAAATAATGTAGTAATTATTGTCTACAATTTTTTTTAAGGGGTGATAATGGAATGGCAACCCCACCTGCACTATTAGTATACACTGGCGGAGCACCAGTGATAGATGACTGATGAGGATGAAAGCAGATCAGTTAGCCTCTCTGACGAATTCAACTAGAATTAGTCATGGATTTAGATTAATGATTGATAGATTGATGAGATTTAAAAATGGTTTAATGACCTGACAGGGTATATTGTAGTAAAGGGGCTATTTATTACTAACAATCCCTACTAGTTTTCACTGTAATTTCGTTTCCGTGACAAGAATATGTTGACAGATCGGGATAAAAATTAACTTATGCAAGAGTATTAATATGGGGAAGGCCCCATAACAAATTTTACGTGTATACCATTACAATTAGTTGAAACGTTAAGGTACTATTAGGTTACAAACAAACAACTTCAGTTCTACATTTATTATATAATAACATTCATTGTTTACATACACACATACATACATATTTGTCATGACTGTCTCCAAATAGGTCATACATTTACTGATTAATGACCATATTTCCAGAATGTTAGTCAATTAAAAGATTTTTTGCAAACATTGTTCATCATATTGAGACGTTTATTAAAAAAGTATTTTTGGTCCACTGATGGACATGAGTCACTCCTTATGAGAAAAAGATTTAGTTTACTGTGCCAATGCTGACTAGTGGCTTGGTATAAGTTTTTATTTAGAGTATTTCTTCTATTACAAATTATTTTCTTAGACTTTACGTCTCTGTCATCATACAGATATAAAATATGCTTGACAAAATATAGAAAATCCGCATTATTCGATAGTAGGCATCACCGAATTGTATAAGAATACTGATATACACTATTAATAAGCTATTACCTCATCTAGGATTAAGGCTGTGAGCATATTATGCATGATTCTTTTTTATTATTTTGTTGAATTGTCGTGAATTAAATATTTAATTATCTCTCTAATAATAATGTATATCGTGATAAATAAATTGGATAAATTATTTAATTTACTCAAGAGATGACGTTAGTTCAGTCTTTAATATTATATGATATAAAATAAATATAATATAAAATACCTAAGTAATTATTTACTAAACACGTAAACATTACTTGTAATTTATACATATAATAAAACTGTAGAGGTCGATTGTCGGTACATAGAGAAAAATTCTAATAACCGAATTAGGGGGATGTTAGAAGTGAAATAGAAAACATTCAGCTTTTTTAATATTTTTTGTTTGTTTTTGTGTTTGTACGGGCTAATTTCTGAAAATGTTCGACAGATTGATATGAAATTTTGTACGGTAGTACCTTACATCCCCGATAAAAGTATTAGATACTTTTAATCAAGGAGAATTAAAGAGTCCCTGTGGCACAGTTAAAAACAATAGTAACTTATATAGCTTAGTACACACCCTACTTAAGTAAAGTCATTTTGATCTAAGGCAAAGAGTGAGAACGACATGTTATTTATTAATTTTGGTCCAGTATTCCCAGATATAATAAATAGGTAGGTACATACATCGAGTACATACTATACAGAATTAACAAATCCCATGCGGACAAAGTCGCGGGCTTTAGCTAGTAGTTAATAAAATACGGGAGCGTGATTTTTTATTTAAAGATAACGTCATATTATCGATATTATACGGTCCAACACTAAACTTTTCTATCCTTTAGAAAGAGCTCTTTGTGGGATTGAAACTTTTTGACTCTGAGGGATTGTTATCCGTAAAGTAGCTCCAAATGTATGCGCTCGCAACGAGGTGCGGAGGAACTGGGATCAAATGGTATTATGA